AAATACAATATAGATATAAATTTATCCTTGAATTGATCCCGTAATCCCGCAATACATTTAGATGTCGTCTTTGTTACAGCGAGTATTTCGGAAGAAAACATATATTTCATAGTAAAAGCACAAGAAATCACAGGGGTTTCGGGATAATTTAAATTTATAAATAGGATTTAAAAGCCATTTAGAAAAGATTTAGGGGCTCCAGCAGCACCCCAAATCCTTGATTTAATCAAAGAACGTGTTAAAAAATCCTATATTAAGAGTTTTCAATAAATTAGCGGGTTTCCTGTCAAAATTCTTAACTAAAACATGACATTTTAACATTTTAGAGAATTCTCATTAAAAAAAATTCTAAGCAGCCAAGCCTTATTTGACATAAATAAGAGGTTTATGGAATAAATGATTTTGGCTGACCCTCCCCTCCCACTGTGGGGGGGTGCTCAATCATTGCTTAGTGGGGGGGGGCTGTGCTAATTGGCCGCTCCTAAACAGGGGGGGGGCTGAACCCCCATAGCCCCCCCCTGAATACGCATTTGATCAGAAAGAATTTAAAAAGTTATTACGAAAATATTTATTGGTTTTTTATTCTCAGATAAATAGTATCTTTGTGAATCGCGCCTGGCACTCTCCAGTCTTAATCTAATATGTTGAGAATTTCTTAAACTCTGAGAGCTAACCATATCTCTTAATAAATCCAGCCACGGAGACAGATCTAATCCTAAATATGGACTTTTTGTAGGTTTACAGGTTTACAGGTTTACAGGTTTACAGGTTTACAAATTTACAGGTTTACAGGTTTACAGGTTTACAGGTTTACAGGTTTANATATTTATCAAGCAAGAATTTTTTGACACTTAATTTAAACCCAAGCTTGCTCTCAATTTGTTTAATATTAGGATCAAAATTATTCCATAACAAAGGAAAGCTGAAAAAAGGAAACTTTTTTAAAAAATCATTTCGGACCCTTGGTAGAAAAAAATCATCACCATTTCTTAGAGGATAAGGGTGATCCGTTAAGGCTGAATTTTTTATAAAAACACCATCGTAGTTAACAGTAGAATATTTCTGATCTATAGAATGCATAATTAATAATTGCTGTTGAATTATTAGGTCAGGAAGAGGCAGAATATCTAATGATGAAAATAAAGGTTGAGAGTGGGAATTATATGAGGCTTTAGAAATTATGCGTACGCATTTCTTCTGAAGCAAGTATAGTGAGTTAATGTTTGATTTACTAGAGCAGCTATAAATAGGCAGGCAATACAGAATATGAGGATGGATGAGCGCGAAGTATAATGACTTTAAGGCTTTACCAGTAAGAATATTCTTTGCTCTATTTAAGTAAAAAATAGATTTAGAAACCTTGTTACGAGTTTGTTTGATGTGATAATCAAAACTTAGATTCTCATCAAAATAAATGCCGAGCATTTTAAAAGCTGGTACTTTGGACATCTTTGAAATACGTTCAATAGGAAAAATTCTGGTTAAATCAGGACTTGAGTTGATGTCATTATTATTAAAATGAAATTGAAAATCAGGAATGGAGGGTTGCTTTGGATGAAAAACCATGATTTTAGTTTTAGAAGTATTAACACAAATCTTGTTGGCTCTCAACCACTTACCTAGTTTTTGAAGTTCAGTGTCAACAAAATTTCCTACCTCAACAATATTTGAACCTTTAGCTAATCCTGTAGAGTCATCGGCAAAATGGAAATTAGATAACAAGTTGGATTTATACATATCATAAATATATATAAAGTATAGGTTCTGTTTAAAATTTATAAGTCATTTATAATAAGGTTTGAAGCCATCAGAATCATTTTTTGTGTTCAGCCTAAACACATGACCGTTAAAAGGCATAAAAGTCATTAAAACTTGTCTTTCTGATGCGCAGTGTTCAATTCCTTCTTATAATCTTCAATTTAAAATGTTTCTGTCAAACTTGACGAGAAGTTTTTGAGTTTTTCAAAACAATTCCATATTATTTATATTCACATAACAAAGATGAGTTTTGATTGAATACTTTACAATTTAGCAGCAAACTCTGTTAACCTTGATATTCTCTGGACCCAAATTTAACACCAAACTCTGTAAACCTTGATATTCTCTGGACCCAAATTTAACAGCAAACTCTGTACACCTTGATATTCTCTGGACCCAAATTTAAAAGCAAACTCTGTACACCTTGATATTCTCTGGACCCAAATTTAACAGCAAACTCGGTACACCTTGATATTCTCTGGACCCAAATTTAACAGCAAACTCTGTAAACCTTGATATTCTCTGGACCCAAGGAATTATTCTGATTGCACTGTGACCTTAAAAGGCCAGACACTCTTTGAAAATATATTTCCTGCAACAATTTGTTTCTCTTTTAGTCTGGTTGGTTAGCTGGGTGGTTGGCTGGCTGGATGGTTGGTTGGATAGCTGTTTGGATAGCTGGTTGTTTGGACGGTTAGCTGTTATGGTTGGTTGGTGGTTGAATGGTTTGTTGTTTAAACTGCTAGTTAATTAATCGGCTGGTTGGTTTGATGGCCGGCGGGTTGGTTGTTTAATTGGTTGTATAGAAGGTTGGTATGTTAGTTTGCTGCTGCCTATTTGGTTATTGGATGTCTTGTTTAATGACTGGTTGGTTGATTGGTTGATCGGCTGTTCGGTTGGCTAGGTAGTTCTCTGGTTTGTTAATTAATTATTTAGTTGTTTGGTTGATTGAAAGGGTGTTTGAATGTATGACTGGTTGACTGGTTGGTTATTTTGCTTGATGCCTGATTGGTTGATTGGTTTGCTAGCTGGTATGTCAGAAAAACTTATACAAAAATTATGAAATTTGATTATGATATTTGACACTGTCTAAAACTCTGAAAAAGTTTATATTTAAATTATAAAATGCTATTTAATGAATAATTTAACATTGAAAGTTTAAAAAAGGTTTGGTACCAAAGTGCAGAATTAAAAGTTGAAGAGTTTTTAAAACATTCTTAATATTCATTCATATAAATTTAGAACTTGTCGTATCACTACATCGTTAAACTTGATAACAACTTTTCTATTTCCTCGGCATAAAAGAAAGTTGAAGAAAGTTAAATTAGAAAGTAACGAGTACAGTGTTAGTAAGTATGTGATGTATCATACATGTAAACATTATTAATTCCTAAACGTGCAATTTCAGTTTTCACAAAAATAAGAAATCCGTGAAAACTTTAAAGAAAACTTCGCAATTTACGAAATCATCCGTCAGCTGCTTATGTCTAAATAAAATGGAAGCAAATACAGGACAAGTGATAAAAACTGCGCTAAAGAAGGGATTTGATGGCGGGACTTCAGGGGCTGCTGCAATGGCAATACAGGTTAATTAATTCTATTTTTTATAAGAATTAATTACTAGTTTAACTCAATTTAATATAAATTAAATAATTCAACAATTATTTTTTTAAATCAAATAAAATAAAATATTAACTTATGTTTTTTTCCCTAAATCAAGCATTAAACACATTCACCATGTCACTTTTCAAAATTTGAGGAAAATCGGTTCATGAGTTATGATCGGACATCCAAACAAAAAAACAAAGATTACAACTTTATGTATATACATTTTGCATGCATCAGTTTAATAATGATTGTAATATTTTGTGAAAGTATGTCATTTATCTTTAATCTATCTGACGTCTAGGTTTCAAGTTTGATGTGGATCCGAACAACAATGAACTACCAGTACAGATACGGGACATCTACCACTCAGGCATTCAAAAAGCTTTGGACAGAGGGAGGACTAAGGAGGCTATACAGAGGAGTTGGACCAGCCCTCTTACAGGGTCCACTTTCCAGGTATACAGGGACCACTTTCCAGGTATACGGGGTCCACTTTCCAGATATACAGGGTCCACTTTCCAAGTATACATGGTCCACTTTCCAGATATACAGGGTCCACTTTCCAGGTATACAGGGTCCACTTTCCAGATATACAGGGTCCACTTTCCAGATATACAGGGTCCACTTTCCAGGTATACAGGGTCCACTTTCCAGGTATACAGGGTCCAAATTCCAAGTATACAGGGTCCACTTTCCAGGTATACAGGGCCCACTTTCCAGATATACAGGGTCCACTTTCCAGGTATACAGGGTCCAAATTCCAAGTATACAGGGTCCACTTTCCAGGTATACAGGGTCCACTTTCCAGGTGTACAGGGTAAACTTTCCAAGTATACAGGGTCCACTTTCCAGGTATACAGGGTTCAAATTCTAAGTATACAGGGTCCACTTTCCATGTATAAAAGGTTCACTTTTCAGGTATACAGGGTCCAATTTCCATGTATACAGGGTTCACTTTCCAGGTTATGAATTGACCATGTAACTTTTTACATGAAGAGTCACTTAAAATTGTGGCGACAGTCCCATTAGATTAGGCTTTTCTAACTAAAATAAGGAATTTAGAAATTTAAAATTTGTTTTGTGGCTTTAGTAAAGGGTTCGCAAAGTTTGATCTTTCTTTAAAACTTGAAAGTATAAGATATAAAACTTTTAAAACAGTTTAAAAGAAATTATAAGCTTGGTTGACAAACAATAGACAGCCTATTTTCCCCTTTTAGATCTCTTTGCTACCCCCTCTTCCCCCCATTTCTTTTACCAAACTTGAGATTTTCCTTAAACAGAGCTATACAGTTGGGATCGGGAATAGTGCAGACGGTGAGAAAATAAATGCTGAAAATGGTAAACTTTAAACTGTAACAACTTACTCAAAATTCATGCTTTCAACCTTTAATTGGTCTCCATCGATCGGAAATATTACATTGTGTTTGAAATTGCTTTAAAAGTAAAAATTGTTTGTAATTTGACTTATGAGCTGTTACAACTAAAAGATGTAGAGTGAGATATTCTCTGTTGCAGGCAGTGTAGTGTAATTGCAAGCATAAATTAACAATACAGCTAACATATTTATCTCTGAATTTGATGGAATTTTTTTTAAAGGGAGTGACCGGCAATGTTGATCTGAGAATGTAGTATTTTGGAGAAATTTTTTAAAATTCATTTTAGACATATAAAACGTTTTAATGGTGTATAATTACTGAGCTTGAGCGCAAAGTCGACGTTCAAAATCACCCATTTAGGTTAGTTTTGAGAATCGGTTTAAAAAAAATCCTTTAATAACGACGCCGAAAAAAGTAACAACGATATAGTTGTATAAAAACACGTTGAGAAAATAAAAATTAACTTTTATCATCTAAAATAAGTAATCTTATTGAGATATTGGTATTTGAAATGTCTCATCGTTCTCAAATATTTTCTGTAGATTTCCTGGAATTTTATCGAAAAGACGACATTTGAAGAATTTGAAGAACTCTGAAAACAAATTCGTAAAATATAAGAAATTTACTACTATAAAGATAAAAAGAAATAATTGATTAAAACATTGATTTATTGAGAAATATACTCCTAAACATTTGATTCGTTTACTGTAGAATTTTTGTTACATTTTTGTCGTCGTTAATGAATAATTTTTAAAAAAATTTTAAAAATGAACAATCTATAAGGGTTTTAAAAATTGAATATGCGCTCTCACTTAACAAATATGCACCGTAAAGACGTCTCATAAGTCTCAAAGGAATCCTAAGTTCAACTACAATACATTGCCGGTCACTCCCTTTGATTTGAGTGTTGGTAATTGTTGGCAATTGTTGTTTTTGTAACTGTAATTTTAATGCAGGTTCGGAGATACAGCTGCCAATGTAGCCATCTTATCCTTATTAGAGAAAAGTGATTTACCAGTCATTGTTAAGGAACGAAATTCAAATATTCAACATATTTTGCTTCAATGTTTTTTATGCATAAGTTTATAAAAAGTTTATTAACAGTCCCACATTACAAGAAGTGTAATTTGTCCCGTATAAAATCAATGTGTTGTTTTCTTAACCAATCAAAAGCAAACAATCAAAAGAATGTCGACGTTTAAATCTTCTTCTGGAAAAATGATAATATTAAATTGTGGCTTCTTTATAAAAGTAACTTACGGATTTGAACAGACATATACAAGTTTTTAGATAGAATAAGTACAATATCTTGCACATTGTTACTCAGATAAAGGGGATTCAGGCATTCAATTCCATAAAATTTTACTTTTTGTGCGTTGATGGCGGGGTTGGGGGATTAAAATTACACTGACACTTCCTATATATAGAAGGTATGATTTGATACCTCGTCCTCACATGCCTTATTTGCATTGATTTTATTTTTGACCTCCAGAGGTAAGCAAATTTTGGAGGTCACGACCTCCAGGATCATCTGAGGTTAAAAAGGGTATCAGAATAGAATCGGAACAGCAAAAAGCCTATGATTTGATACCTCATCTGACTTATTTTCATTGATTTCATATTTTGATCTCCAGAGGTAACCAAATTTTATAGGTCACGACCTCCAGGATCATCTGAGGTTAAAAAGGTGTATCAGAATGGAATTGGAACGCCAAAAAAGCTATGATTTGATACCTCAAAAAATATGAAAAACACGTCTGATTTTTTTTATAATGATTAAATTAGAGTGAAAAAAGTGGTATTTTCCCGTATTGTCTATGTTCATGGAGGTCAATGATCTCCTATCTCAAATTTTCTTCATGATCTTTGTAGATGACCACAATTAGAGGCTGCAAGCAAAATTTCAGCCTTCTATCTCAATTATTAGGACTAAAATTTGGTGTCACAAAGTGTCGAATTGCCCCCCTCCCTCTCCCATTTTATACTTTCTCCCTTTTAATCCTTAATAGCACATAACACTTGTTATCGTTTTAGTTGTCTACTGTTGTTTACATGAACAACAGAATAGGGGGGGGGGGGTTAATCAGTAATATTTGAATACAGTAAAATTATTAGTCGGGAACAGCATCTCTAGCCGCAGCGTCCTGGAGAATAGTAATTATGCCAGTAGATACTCTTAAAACTACTCTTCAGGTAAACACATCACGCAAGTTAGATATTTAGGCATATTATTAGATAAACTAGAGCTGAGAGCTTTTGTGTTGGATTCCCATAATTCCGATCTCTTGATCTATATATCCACAGTGCACTGGGGATCCTTTGAATTTTACACACCATCTGCATTATCTCATGATAATTGATATCAGCAGTTTCTCAGCTCTCTCATTGGTTGAATGCAAAATTCCCCGGTTTCCGAAAGGCTCTGCATGTTCCACCTTCGATACTCTTCACATACAGATCAAATCAATTTGGAGAGTATCAATAGATCGAAATCAAGCATTGATCTCGATATCCCCAATATAAGAGTTCGTCCCTTAGGATTTAAAGTCGATGTGTGCCCCTCTTTCTTGTGATAATTTCAGCAGCCTACATGTAACCACTTTTCTTCGTACATTATGAAAAACAGTTCGCAGATTTTAAGTAAAGTTACATAAACAATCTTTATATTTTTCCTGTACAAATGTATGTGGCAAGTGTACAGGAAAAATGAAGGTTATAAATTTCTGAAACAATAATATATAATTTTGTGTATAGTAAGCATTGTTAATGTTGATAATGCTGAAACTGAAACAAAGTTTAAAGTTTAAAGTTGAAGCATTTCATTTTACATAAATACTCATCAGGAAGTAACATACATTTGATTTAATCTAGAACATGGCTGTAATTTCAATTTTAAACATTAAATATAAATTAAACTCTAGGCCAATATCCATTCATCTATCTTATTATAGAGTTAGAATAAGGAATGTAGTCCGTCGTCTTTGCAATAAGGACAGAGTTCAGGGACCAAAGGGAATCGGTATCATAGGTATAGATCATGTATAGTGACATACAGTACATCGGATAAATGAGAGTTGCGGCATCTGTGTAGTGTGTATATTCTGTGTACACAGATCTGGGGTATGTAAACAGTAGACAGTTCTTCTACAGCGTGTCCCACGAAACATGACAATAGCAAGACGACTTGAAAGTCGTCTTTGGTATTTGAATTTATTTGTGACATTTAGTCTTTTATCTAGTTTAACATGTATGATTCTTGAAACAATTATCACATAATTCTCCTAGCCCTGGCATTTCCAAAAAGTGGTCTGCGTTTTTTGTGCTTTCAATATTACCGGAGATATAAAGAGTTTGGTTCAGAATTCAATTTTGTTAAATAAAAGCAAAATTGTCGAAATCTGAACGAAATTCTTCATATCTCGGGCAATATTGAAAGCACAAAAAAGGCAGACCACATTTTGGAAATGGCAGGACAAGGGAAATTTTGTGATTATTATCTCTAGAAATTTACTTTTAAAATTAGGTTGACAAAATAAACGCAGCAAATTATATCAAAAATCAAGACGACATTCAAGTCGTCCTGCAGACTGTCATGTTTCGTGGGACACCCTGTATACCAATACCATGTCATGAATGTATGGTTTATAAAACTGCAAATTGAGAAATTATACGTTCATCAGTAAACTTGAAAAATTATCCGATGGGCATAACAATACTTCTCCGAAACATAAGAGCTTATACCCAGGTAAAATATCTATTCTATTTTAAATAATTTACATTTCTAAAGTTTCTGAAAAATAAACATTTCTGCAACAGAGCTAGACTATCCCTCCCCCGTTTATGTCATTTTTGAAAAAAGGATGGAAAGCTAGACCAAGCAACGCATATTTTGTTTTATAGAATGTAAAATAGTTTCAAAACTGGATTCGTCTTTAAGGAATATTTCATAATTTTTTCATAGCAAGGGGGTATAGATGGGGCTTTAAGAAAGAGGCGGGGGGGGGGGGTGATGCCCCGCCCACGGCTACCATATATGCTTGAAAGTTCGGTTTAACCCAAATTGAAATGTCATTTTAAAACATGAAAAACTGCTGTTCTTTCTAAATTTTCAACAAAATTGACAGCCCCCCGCCCTGAACCCCTAGAAAACATTATGTTAATGATGCAGATTTTTATTTTAAGAAACAAATCTTCTTAGAGATAATCTTTAACTTGTTTAGGTTTCATTATGCTGGGTCTGCCAGGAGATTTAAGTACTGCATGAAGTTCACATGTTAAGGAAATAAGGAAAATCAAGAAGTTTTATTTCAAGAAATCTTTGAGAAAAGAAAAAATTGGAGTTAAAGAGTACTTCACAATAATTAGAAACCCTATTAAAATATTGTTTTTTTAATAAATAAATTGTTAAGCCCACTATGTTGTACATTATTTATAAAATTATTCTTACAGCTTCGTCAGATTTTGCATTTGTTTAATTCTTGCAATTTGGATAATGTATAAAGATTTTAGATCTTTGTTAACCATTTTATGTAATTGTGTCAGGTACTCTCCGTATTGTTATCATGGCAAATTTTTACTGTTTTTGCCCTAAAAATGTTAGTTTTTGGCCTTGGCCTTTTATTACAAGTTAATTTACTTAAACATAGGCGTATTTGATGTTCAATTTTTGACACATGCATATGAATAGCAATATAAATTGCTCGCGAGAACAAATAATATTTTTTCGGAGTAAAATTTTGTGCACAAAAACTATTTTTGGAAAAACATTTGTTTATATGATATTGGATTTTTTCTAAATTCAAAAACTTTGAATAATTGTCGTAGTAAATTTAATTTACCCTTCAGTTAAAGACGAGCCTGCCCGACTCACGAGGTACTCTTTAAACCTTTTTCTTATTTAGATACCGTCGTTTTTAAATCTTTTTCTGGGCCATTTTTACCGGTCCTTTTTACTTTTAAAGTTAAAAATATGGATATCTTACTCATTTTGTTTTAATATCACAAAGCTTATAGTGGCCCTGTATCAACTAAATATTACGTCTCAGTTCCTTTAGGGGCCATGGACAAATGCTTAAGAACTTTTCTCTAAATTTTTATTCATTATCAAAATAACGTCTACAAAAATCCCCCTCTTCTTTATATGTACATGTTGACCTTTTCGTCAAATTTTGAGGGGACTGTACAATTTCCCTGTACACATTGCCTATCAGCATTCTATACTGTTAACCTTTGTTAGATTTGGTCCTCTACTCCTAGTTCCAATATAACATTAATATGATTTGAATAAATCCAAACTCTGCCTCATCTATTGTTTTAATTAAGTTTGGAGATACTATACCCCCCNTACAGTTTTAGAACATAAATTCAAGCTGTAAACCAGTTTTAAAGCTTATGTACTGCAATATGATCATAATACCCCTGGTTCTCCTGATATCCTTGGTTCTCCTTATACCCCTGGTTCTCCTGATACCCCTGGTTCTCCTGATATCCCGAGTTATCCTGATACCCCTGGTTCTCCTGATACCCCTGGTTCTCCTGATATCCTGATTTATCCTAATACCCCTGGTTCTCCAGATATCCTTGGTTCTCCTGATATCCCTGGTTCTCCTGATACCCCTGAATCTCCTGATATCCCTGGTTCTACTGATATTCTTGGTTCTCCAGATTTCTCTGATATCCCGGGTTCTCCTGATACCCCTCGTTCTCCTGATATCCCTAGTTCTCCTGATATCCCTAGTTCTCCTGATATCCCTGGTTCTCCTAATACCCCTGGTTCTCCTGATATCCCTGGTTCTCCTGATACCCCTGGTTCTCCTGATATCCCTGGTTCTCCTGATATCCCGAGTTATCCTGATACCCCTGGTTCTCCTGATACCCCTGGTTCTCCTGATATGTCTGGTTCTCCTAATATCCCTGGTTCTCCTGATACCCCTGAATCCCCTGATATTCTGGTTCTACTGAAATTCTTGGTTCTCCAGATTTCTCTGATATCCCGGTTTCTCCTGATACCCCTCGTTCTCCTGATATCCCTGGTTCTCCTAATTCCCCTGGTTCTCCAGATATCCCTGATATCCCTACTGAAAGTAACATGAAAGCTTAAACTAAATTAAAACTTTAACCGTCAATCAAATCCTCCTTTCTTTATTTTTTTTTAGAAAACAACACAGCCCTCCTGTGTAGTTTATGAAATACACTTGATTAGAAAAATCCAATCATGTTCACAAATCATTTTCATTGCTTCAGTCTACAAGCCCCTTTCTATACATATACTTTGCTTGTCTGTCTGTCTGTTTGTTTGTATCTAATAAACGTCAAAACGACTGAATCGATCGGGACCTCGCGTGACCCCAGGGAAGGTTTATGGATGATTGAATTTTTAAAAATTTGCCTTAACAAATTCGATTTTTGAAAATTTTGAAAATCCGCGAAATCTTTTTTAAAATCCGCTAAAATTTTGTTTGTTTTGTTTTAATATGTATTCAAAAAGAAAATGTTCACAATTGAAATATAAGTTGGGCGCGAAGCGCTCTAAAATCCGAGTCTATATAATTTGATTGGGTGTCTGTTTGTTTGTATCAAATAAACGGCTGAACCGATCGGGCCCAACTTTTTTGTGGGACCTCAAATGACCCCAAGAAAGGTTCATGAATGATCAAAATTTCAGAGATTAGCCTCCAACAAAATTTGATTTTCATAAAATTTGAAATTCCACGAAATTTTTTCTATAAAATCCGCGAATTTTTTGTTCTGTTTTGTTTACAATGTATACAAAGAGAAAGTGTTCACGTAATTGAAATAGAAAATTGGTTTTCAAAATTGATTAGACGTTCTGATTATTAAAAATTGACATCTACGGCCTGGAGTTTTCAAGTACGCACTAATGAAAAATTAACAAGGGCAGGAAAAATAAAAACCTGTCATTTGACCCTGCAATTCCTCATGAAAGGGCACTGAAGTGAATAATTACAATAATTTTCAAATATTTAGATAGGTTTTATTTCATATAGTTTTCTTCGTTTCTAAGAATGTCTGCAAGATGAATGAATAATAATAATGAATCTTATTCATGATACCAATATATGAATAGAATATATAAAGAATTTCAAAGATTGTTTTATGTTGCCAATATATAAGAAAAACACAATATTTATAGGGCAAAATCAAATTATTGGAAAATCAGGGAATTTAATTAACAAAGAACATTTTAGTTGTAATTCCTGTTTCAATGTGTGATATTAAAATAAGAATATTTAAATCCTAGCTTGGGAAACTACAGAATTACCTGGAATCTAATTGTTCCCTGTAAACTCAACTTAGAATTATTACAAGCAAAGTATATTTCCGTGGTTCTACAGAGTTTTCTAAGAAAAATTTGTCTGGAGTTTTTAAAAAAGCTGACAAACGGTCCCAAATGGATCGTAACTTACGATCAGACATTCAAACAGACGTTTACGATATCTATGCAGTATATATATATATATATATACTGCATAGATAGTTATAGATACAAAGATAAAAGTTTTAAAAGTCTCAAAATTTAAGTACTAATAAAACCTCAGATTAATCCGTAAAGAGCTCTATTTTAGTTGAATCAATTGAGTTTTAAATGGCACAATTTTTCTTTAGCTTTGTAAGTAAAAACATTTTTGACTTTAAGGAAAATGAAACATAGTTTGAAACAAAAAATTAAATTCCAACAGTTAATTTAAATAAATGATTCTCAAGAGAAGCATTTATTTAAAAACCAGGAGAAAAGACAATCCTTGTTAATCCTAATTTAAATTATATTATCCCATAATTACCATCTTAGAAATTAAATGAGGTGGTACCAACCTAAAATTCTTAAATTAGCTATAATGTTATATAATGTTATATAATGTTCGACTAATTTTATGATTTTAATTAATACTCGATCCAATGACTATGAAACACAGCCATTAGTGCATGTCTGTGAAAAAGTAGAATTTTAAGGTACTGGTAAAACAATTTGCATAAGATTGCATAAGTACAAGATTTTACGGATCCATATTGGATACAAACAAACAAACGAACAAGCCAAATTTATATATAGATAGATATTTATATATAGGTTGAAGGGAAGGATGGATTGAGACTACTAGGGAATAAGATGAGACTACAGGGTCCTGCTGTATTCTGGTATGGTAGTTTAGCCGCAGCTTCAGCTACTGCTGTAGGTCACTTTCCTTGGTTTTATACCTTCAACCAACTACAGGCTGTTATACCTCAGTATTCAGAAACATACAAGTATTTATTCATTTATCTTCAGTCAGAATTTGGTATACCACAATCAACAATAAAGTTAAAAGAAGGGGGGGGAGATCTTACATGCCCCTCTTTTAAGGAAGGGTCACTTGAAATTGTAATTAGAGTCTCTAGCTTTAAAAAGTGACACTATTTCTAATGGCCAAGTGTTTACATCATTCTCTCGGCCCCCTTTCAAAGTTTTTACAAAGGAATTGAGACTTTGCCACAAACTTTTATTTTCTAATCCTAATATCTTCGCTACATGTCGTGACCTTAGATATTTTAAAATATAAATTATGTTAAATCAAATAATTTATTTGTTTAATAGGGTTTCCAGCGAAAAGGAAAAAACGCATTTCGCAAAAATATTTTCGCATTTTCGAGAGATTTCGCTTCATTTATTTTCTCGAAAAAGTTTGCGAAATGCGACCGAAAATTTATTGCATTTTTCGCGAAACGTTTCGTTCGTTGGAAACCCTAGTTTGAAATATCAGGTGGGGTGGCAAAGATATATGATTAAAAAATTTGGGTTTGTGGCAAAGATTCGATTCCTTTCTATTTAAGGAAGCTGGCTCGTAATGCATTGATTGGTTTCTGCTCCAGTGTAGTATCTGATACTGTATCCAACTCTCTCAGGGTTATTAAAACAACACGGCAAACCTACACTACACCCATTAGGTATATATATACAATATGTTCAAGGATAGATTCATTTTGATAGGGGTGCTCCAAATATTGAATTGCTTCAATAATTCTTCTGCCTTTTTAAAGTTTTCTTACAAATGTCCCCAAAGATTTAGAAGTTTCAAAACTCTATAATTGACATTTCTTGAAATTGATGAGTAGCAGTTACAAATTGAATAATCCTTATCAATGTTTTTAAGTTAAAGATCTGAAGTGACCCTCCATGCAAAAATGACAATGTCCGATTCAAAACAGTATACCCTTGAAACCTATATCTGATCAATTAATGTGGAAGATATTGTAAGATATTGTTCGAAACAGTGTTAAATTCTGGTAGTTATTCTAGGTTTTACTTTAGTAAAAATCCGCAAGCCGTTTTTGTAGAGAAACTACAAGTGAAAATATAAACCATTAATATCTAATTCATACTTGACCAGACAAAACTTTTAAGGGTACCGTTGTGAATCGGGCATTGTCGTCTTTGCATGGAGGGTCACTTGAAATTAAGCTCCCTGTAAGAACGGCGGCTTTTATTCCGACTTTTACCAGTTATAACTCGTGCATGGTTCAGTGCATGTTTTTGCTTTTATCACTTACAGTTACAGATCTTATGTTACATTCATTCAAATTACAACCAATAATGGTTAAGAGAGATCCTGGCTAAATTAAACAGTAAAAATTGCGCCGATCTGTAATTTATATTTTTAAAATATTTAGTAAAATAAATCTACCCTATTCTTTATATTCTAGTTATATTGGAGTAGTAAGGGAGGTAGTAACTAAAGATGGTTGGATTGGATTGTTTGGACGAGGATTAAAAACAAGATTAATTGCTAACGGAATCCAGGTGAAGGATTTCAAGATTATATTTACTTATACACCCATCCTTCCAATTCTAAATACTAATAACAATTTAAGAATTTTGTTGAAATTTCAATTTATTAAATAAAAGCAAGATTTTCTCATTCTGAAAGAAATCATGCATATCTCTGGTATTTATGAAAACACAAAAAAGAAAATGTTGAAATTTCAATTTATTAAATAAAAGCAAGATTTTCTCATTCAGAAAGAAATCCTGCATATCTCTGGTATTTATGAAAACACAAAAAAGAAAGGCATAAGACCATTCAAAGTCACTGATCAGTGTTTTGGCCGAAGTAAGTTAACATACATATATCATAATTAATTTTAGGGTTTGATGTTTTCTGTTCTTTGGAAATATTTTATGGACCTTCAAGAACAAAATAGAAAGAAAACAGCATAGAAGAGCCATTTTTTATTTGTCATAAGTATTAAGATGAAAATATCTTAGTTCAATCGTAACTATTTATAACAAGATACAGTTTTAGAACATAAATTCAAGCTGTAAACCAGTTTTAAAGCTTATGTACTGCAATATGATAACAAATAAAGTGGATGCTTACATAACATTGTATATATGAGATCAAAACTAACAGGTTTAATTGTATAAGCATGATTTAGTTTGAATGGAAATCATTAACATCACGATAAACGCATAATAATAAGAAAAATAACTGTTTAGTTAATAATTGTAGCAATAAAAAAAATGGTACTTAAGAACACAGTTTCCAGTACAGTGTTCTCTGCACAGAAACCCCAGTACCCAATGCACATTACACAAACGCTCACCGAAGCACAACATAAACGTTGGAAAAATTAGGAGAAAATACATTCCTATATTGACAAATTTAGCGTTGATAATTTTCATAGTTCACCGCTTTGAAAAAATGAGAAATGTTACTTTTACTTAAAACCATTCTAAGCAAAAAACTGTTAAAAAAAACTGTCAAATTATTCTAACACAAATATAAACCTATCCTTACGCAAAATGTAATTTTCAGTTATATTACTCGAGCCAATTGCATTCGATGGAATAATAAAATGTTTACAACTTACAAAGCAATATATTAAATAATATTATCCTTGATGTTTTCTTGAAGATATTTTCTATACATTTTATATATTCTTCTTAAACGAGGGTTTAGAGAGATTATCCAGGAGGTGCAAACAATCTCCTGCAGCAAACCTGTACCTGAACATGTACAGTACGTAGTATCCTGTACCTAAATATGTACAGTACATAGTAACCTGTACCTGAACAAGTACAGTACGTAGTATCCTGCACCTAAACATCCACAGTACATAGTAACCTGTACCTAAACAAGTACAGTACGTAGTACCCTGTACCTAAACATATACAGTACATAGTAACATACACCTAAACATGTGCAGTACTTAGTAACCTTTACCTAAACATATCCAGTACATTGGAACCTTTATCTAAACATATACAGTACTTAGGAACCTATATCTAAACATGTACATTGTACAGTACATAGTAACCTGTACCTAAACATGTGCAGTATATATAAACCTGTACCTAAACATGTACAGTACATAGTAACCTGTACCTAAACATGCACAGTACATAGTAACCTGTACCTAAACATGTACAGTNTAAATTTTTGAAAATTTTGAAAATCCACGAAATTTTTTGTGAAAATCCGCGAATTATTTTTGTTTTGTTTTACGATGTACACAAAGAGAACATGTTCACAATATACTAGCCTCTAAGGCTAGTATATATAAATATTTTAATGCCGATATATCATTATTGTTTTGGGCCACTCACATCCACTTTCTACGCCCCTGATCAAGAAAAAAAATTTAATCTTTTTCTGTCTCTTATGGATAAAAGAATATAGGTGCAAAGTTAGCACCATTTATTTCTATTATTACAAGAGTTAATACAAACTCCAGGAGACTAGTGAGGTCCATTTACTCTACTTATCATTGTAATTAGTTTACACAAATTAAAACAGACGACATTATTTATATCTTGATTGTAGCATAGAATTATTATTTGTAAAAGGTTTTACAGTAAATGTAGTTGTAAAGTTAAATATTGAAAGTTATTGATATTCCATTTCATTTCATTTATTTTATTTTATTTTATTCTTTTTAAATTTTTTTTTGAAAATTATATCTTTACCTACTTGTTACACCAAAATTATACACTGTATGAATAAGAATACAATTTAAGCACGGAAAAATCCCCGGAAATGCACCAAAATATTGAGAACGGATTATTAATATTGAAAATTTGAACTATACCAGAATATTGGAAGTGGAGCAGTGACGAGATGCCAGAGAGCGTGGCTGTCAATAGACCAGAGAATTGGCGGGAACTCGAGCAGTTCCAGGAGTACACTCACTGATACAGCTGAATGGAACGCCGTTGTTTACTGATAATTTACCGCTATTTTCTTTCAAATCAAATCTTGGAATTCATGTTCATTTTCTTGTTTAACTTAATGATTGTTCTATCCTGTTTATGATATATTCACTTTAGTAGAATTTAAATTTTAAGAAAAAGCGCTTATTAAATAACTCTTTAAAAATTAGATTGTAATACATTATTGAAGAAGTTCAATCCACTGTAAAATGTTTCCATGCATCCCTATTCAAATTGTAATTTCCAGAAAATTTAAAATTTTGAGAAAATATTTCTTCAGAGTTTTAAATTTAAAACGGTATCATTTATTTTGCTTTCATGTTATTCTAAAATGAACCTCAATTCAAAAAAAGAAGACAATTTTGAAGAAGTTAAAGAATAATGCTTTATTTTCTGTGATATTTCAACAAAAACAAAAATGAAAGCCTGGAAACCCATTATAAGAAAGTCTACAGTTAAGGATATATTTTCTGATATAATAAAAGATCCCCCTACATATGGTACTTTCAAACCGGAAACAATAAAACAATATATAAAAGAAAAATTGTCAATAAATTGCAAAAATGGGAAGGAGGGTCGATAAGAAATATTTTCTTAGAATACATATTATCTAGATATCTTTTTGTTTGTTATAATAAATAATTGAGTTTAAATCTAAAAGAAACCTCCTCGATATTCCCGATATGAGAGACCTAGACGGGTTAGTTTGTTTGTTAGCTTATCTTATTACAAAGTTTTCATCATATTAATCTTAACTAGAAAATTTATATTCCTAAGAATAGAAAATTATCATGTAAAATTAATTTATGTGCTTACTAGACACATTGGACTCAACTATTACTATAATTTTTGACATTACTGGAGGTTAAGTAGTAAGAACCCACTGAAGATCATAGTTTCCCCTTTTCCAGGAGATTGGGGGCTAAGCCTTCATGCCTCCCCCTGTATTCGCCACTACTTGAAGTGGTTCCCCTGTCATCTGTTGAGGAAAAATAAACTAACCTAGAACAGCAGATGCTCCCTGCTTAATATGTTTCCCCTGCCATCTGTTGAGGAAAAACCAAACTAACCTAGAACAGCAGCAGCTCCCTGCTTAATATGTTTCCCCTGCCATCTGTTGAGGAAAAACCAAACTAACCAGCAAGCACAATTGATTCCGCCAACAGTGATGTTAACCTTAATACGTAGTTTTTTAAGAAGTAGCTTTCTAAATTAAAAAAAATTATTACCGAATCCCTGATATTTAAATTGCTACCCTGAAAAAGCCAGGGATCCAATGTAACAAGGATTGCAATGTTACATATAAGACAAGAAATGGAATTTAAAGAATTTGATCCTCGGTTTAAATCCGCCAAAACCCGGTTTAAATTAAGCGCCGGCTTAAATCTTGAAACATTTGATACAATTTTAAGGGTAACCCACCATATTTAAACCGCGGCTTAAATTTAAACCGCCGCTCAAATTCTTTAAATTCGGCCAAAGATCACATTTTTCTTCATTAATGTTAAAATGACGTGACCCAGTTAGAATACAATAATAGGAATAATAGATTTCCTTGGCTTCCCTCGACCTTGCTGGGTCCTAGGCAATCCCTCGCAATGTTCAAGATGCTTGAAGACCCAACTGTGCTAAGCCTCGGCAATGTAATAAGCTCTCCTATATTTATTGCATCTGTATTGCCTCCTTGTAATGAAGACATAATTAGTTATTTAAAAAAATAAAAATACATAATTTTATCAAACCTTCATATTGTAGCCATAGTCAAACCGAACAGTTGCCATAGAAACAACGTGGGATACATAGAAACATAGGCAGGAACAGATAATAACCAATCTAGACATAGATATAAGATAAAACAGTTTTAGAGAAGAAATGGATTTATCTTTTTCTTGTCACTTTCCTCTTCTCATTTCCCAGGGGCATGAAACTTTAAAAAGGGGGTAACAGAAAATAAGAGGGATGGGAGAGGGTCCATTGATCCTTTCCATGATCAAACTTTTAAAGAAAGATGTAAAAGGTTTTCTTTCTTTAAATTTTCACCATGAAATGTGTTTTTAAAATTTCTCCCCCCACCCCCCTCCTTTCTCAGTAAAAATTGGGTGCCCCTGATGGTCAAGGATTTGTGGGGAGAAAATAATAAATCTTTCTTGATATAAATATTAAAATAATATATAATTTATCACACATAGCAACGTATAATAAATGTAAAAACATGAATAATCTCCTTCTCAACACAACGGATACAAAAAGAAAAACGGAAAAAAAAAACTTGTTAAAGGTATTGTAAATTTGTAAGCGTCATTTCAAGTGACCCTCAAAGCGATGCACAGATGGGTATGTCAGATTTATAATCGTATCCTGAAAACTTTTGTGAGATTAAGTATGAATTAATATCCATGTTATTGTTTGTGGGTTTTTTGCAAAAGTGACATGGGTATTTCTTTCTCATACGAAACAATAGAGAAGTTATCAAAAAAATGTCAAGATAGAAACACGACGCTATCTTCCACGTGACCAGATTAAGGTTTTAATGGTGTCGTTTTTTTATCGGGCATTGATATCTAATGAACTAAATGGTCACTTGAAATTACGCTTACAGTCCTTTTGAACTATGTTAAACTAAATATTTTAATAGATGTGTTTGGTTGTTATGTTTTAAACTAGGTTAACAAAGAACATTGTTATTTGTTCTTTATCAGTAATTCTTCTATTTTTTAAATAATTTGGTGAAAAGTTAAAATTTTTTTTCACTGTAATTTGAAAATCTTCTGGGATATTATTTCTCATAATTGTCCAGGGACATTATGAGAAAAATGTTACAGAAGATTGAATTTTACTAAATTTTGCGAATTTTAGATTTTTTCTCGCGTTTTTAAGGTATAAAATGAAATAAAATTATCTAAGCAAATGCCTTGCGTATAATTTGGGATATCATATTTTTGACGGGATTTAAAGGCTTGAATTTTAACATCAAACAAACTAAATTAAAAAAAATCCCGGCAAAAATATAATGTCCCGTATTATAAACAAACAAACAAACAATCAACCATCATTCCGTAGAAATCAGGGTATTTGCATACTTTAATACTTTTTACTATTTAATTACACTTCCATATTCAATTCAGTAGTATACCCTTGAAACATTTGTCTTATCAAAGAACAATGAGATATCATAGTTATTCTGGCAAAAAATGATTATCTTAAATTATGGTTCACTTTGAGCAATCTTCCTCTTTAATAACCTGAGCTGAAAACTTTAGAATGGTGGATATCAGGATTAATGCTTAATCCAAACTTTTTCTTAATATCCAGATTAAATATGGCTTGTTTTCCTCTTGAATTTAATCTCCAGAAAAGTCAACAGATCGGGATTAAGGATATCTCATTCTAAAGTTTTCAGCTCAGATAAAGTTTTAAAGGGTACAAATGCCATTCTTTCAATACAGGGTTTACTTCAAGTTGTATATATAATTCCTCTAAGGTTATCAAGACTCACTCCGCCCCCTTTTTTTGGCCATTTTGAAATCTTTAAAAAATATTAAATTAAGATATTTTTACCTCGGCATATATTGAGGCCGGGATTGTAAACTGCGTAAACAAAATGTCAACAAGGAGCAGAGAACTGTAGAAAATGCGCAGAAATAATCCAACATTTCTTAATATAAGTATCAAGTATTTTTATAAACATACATTTACCAAAGAAGGAGTTGGTTTTGAAAAGAGGATATTTCAATATCAAATAATTTCTTTGTAATTGTAATCATGATTATTAGCGTTTTTGTTATTGTCACAATTAGTGTTACTGTAACTGTGAGTGTTGTCATTACTTTTGTTTTTAGTATTATTATCGTTTTACTTTTTGATATTGCTATTATTATTGTTATTGTAATAATTTATTATTATTGTTAAAATAACTTGTTTTGTTCTCATTTATTATTGTTGTTGATACTATTATTGTAATAGTTATTGGTTTTATCATGGTCATTGGTATCGTTATTTGTTATTGTTATTATTTTTATTGCTATCATTGTTTTTGATATTATCATAGTTACTGCGATGTTGTAAATTATTATTATAAACACTGTTACACTATGAGACTTTAATATCGACATAACAAGCTAAAATTCAACGATCGAAAAGCTAAATTTAGTATTCGGCTTAAAATTAACCCTCTTAAGATCAAATAATACTTTCAATTGCAGGAAATCATAATTGCAAGAAAAAAACTGAATAAATTCCGTACAGTCGTCTTTGAAGTCTCATCCTTTATAAGGACACCATGTAGCCTATAATGTACCTGTAAGGACACCCTGTAGCCTATAATGTACCTGTAAGAGGTGTATCACGAGAATGAAATACGGAAGACCAAATCCAAGCATTCATCGAGACAAGGGAGTATAAAATCCAAACACTGTACAGTACAAAAACTCATAAACTCAATCATGTGTGATAACTGCTGAACAGATCGGGACCATTTGTCTTGTATGTTTATGGTAGGAATAATATAAAACATTGTTGCATCCATAAAAGTTTAACTTTTTGAAATTTTTGTAAATCCACAAATGAAAAATAGGAAAATCTTCAGTTTTGTGATTTAAGAAGAAATTGCGGCTGTTTTTACAAGAAGATGGTAAAATAGTATTAAACCATATAAATAATTTCGAGATATAACAAGTTAACAACCTATTAATAATAAAGCTTTTATTTAAATCACTTTAAGCTAGAAAAAAAGAATAGGTGTCAGTCGAGCAATTTAAATATAAGAATAGTTGTACAATGTCTTCTTTCCTACCTGTACATGGGGGCTTTGCTAGGAACTGTACGTAAGAACCAGATGAGCATGTAAAGATGACTCACAAAGTTGAAAAGGGAGAAAACAACTAAACAAAACAAACCTTTATCTAACAATCAAGGCTTTGTTTTATGTAACAAAAGCAATACTTCAACGATTTTATAATAATGGATTAATACTCGAAAAATGTATAAATTTAATGCAATAAAAATAAAAATGGATTAAGAAAACATAAATTGTGAATATAAGAAAAAGAGTAGTGTATAATGTTGATGAAAAAATAAAGAAGGGATAAAAAATAAAAGGGTGTATTGAAAGAAGAATGAATAAATGGATAAATAGATAAATATTTGAAAAAATAAAATAATATTTGAATAAATGAGTATATACATAAATGAGTAAATGAGTAAATGAGTAAATGAGTAAAATAAATGAATAAATGAATAAATGAATAAATGAATAAATGAATAAATGAATAAATGAATAAATGAATAAATGAATAAATGAATATTACCGGAGGCAGGTTCTTGTAGACCGAGTATTCTAATAAATGGCCACCTAGAAAGTTATAAATATAAAAATCAAATTATTAAAAAATCTGTGGTACCCTGCCGTCCCGAATACACTATACAGTACCTCCTGAAGTACTATGGTACCCTGCTGTACCGCAAACGCTTTACTTTACCTGCCGAAGTACTGTAGTACCCTGCCGTCCCGTTTGCACTGCATAATACCTGCCGAAGTACTTTGGTACCTTGCCGTCCAGTATACACTGTACAGTACCTGCCGAAGTACTGTGGTACCCTGCCGTACCGCTTGAAGAGGATCTGCATAGAGCTCCACATACACCCGTAAACACAGTCATCTATATCATAATCTTTGTCACAAATTCTCATACCATAGCTTCTTTGATTCTTTCTTTTCTATTCTGGAAAATGTGTCCTACTAAACATGATAAGTTGAGATACCTGTCGTCTTTTTGAGAAATATTTATTTGTGAACTTTACTTCACATTAATCATTGTTTCATAAAAACCCAAATCCTATAGCCAGACATTATCTAAATGCACAGTTTTTTTCTGCCTTCAAATTACCTAAGATTATATTTTAATTTACTAAATGAAACCAAATATGTCGTAACATCTTACATCGTTGTAATTTTTAATATAATAAGAAATTTGAAAATTGACTTTAAGGCGTGGAATCTTTGTTTTATATTCCTCTTTCATTAAATACAGGGTTATTCACAATGGATGAGACTTTAGAGTCGACTGTACGGAATGTATACTGCCCGTTTTCATGATACTTGATACTTTCTTTGCCAAAATCTTCAAATAAAGCAATAAAAGACTTTATTTAAAGGGAGAAGACTTTATTTAACCTTGCGATCGTGATATTTTAAAAGTTTCAGGCTCATCCTTTGTCAAAGAGCAAAGACGATGTTTAAGTCACCTCTCAATATTTAGCCCTACACTGTACATAATACATATTAACTAGGCGAGTGCAGTGAATAGTGAACATGACCAACCATGGAATCAAGCTTTTCTCCTGACTTACCAATGAATATATAAATATACACCTGAACATGACTTACCAATGAACATATAAATATCAGCTGAACATAACTAACCAAGAAATATATAAATAATCAGCTGAACATGACCAATGAATATACAAATATTCATCTGAACATGACTTACCAATGAATATATATATAATTAGGTGAACAAGACGTACCAATAAATAAATAAATAATCAGCTGAACATAACTAACCAAGAAATATATAAATAATCAGCTGAACATGACATACCAATGAAAATATAAATAATCACCTGAACAAGACCAACCAATGAATTTTTCAGGAAAAGATTGAGCTGAACTCCATTTCTCCAGGTCACTTGAAATAATTATCATTGTCATGATCATGTCATATCTATGTATACTTTGCTTGTCTGTGTTCACAGATAATCGAATTTTCAAAGATTTGCCTTTAACAAAATTCGATTTTTGAAAGTTTTAAAAATCCATGAAATTTTTTTGAAAATCCGCGAATTTTTTTAAAAATACGCGAAATTGTTTTGTTTTTGTTTTACAATGTACTCAAAGACAACATGCTCCCAATTGAAATATAATATGGGCGCAAGACGCCCGAAAAGCCTAGTTATATATATATTTCATTGTGTATATAATTAGTAGAGTTTATTGGAGTTGTGTAGATTATTTGTAGAGTTTAGAGGAATTATGAATATTATTAGTAGAGTTTAGAGAAATTGCGTAGATTATTAGTAGAGTTTAGAGAAAGAGTTCAGTGAAATTGTGTAGATTATTAGTGGAGTTTAGAGAAATTATGTAGATTATTTGTAGAGTTTAGAAAAATTGTTTATATTATTAGAAGAGTTTAGAGGAAGTGTGTAGATTTGAATAGTTTTGAGGAATTGTGAAGATTATTCGCGTAGCTTAGAGAAATTTTGTAGATAAAATTAGAAGAGTTTAGAAAAATTGTGAAGATTACTAGTGAAGTTTAGAGGATTTGTGTAGATTATTAGAAGAGTTTAAAGGAATTATGTAGATTATTAGAAGAGTTTAGAGGAATTGTGTAGATTATTAGTAGAGTTTAGAGAAATTGTGTATATATCTTTAGAAGAGTTTAAAGGAATTGTGTAGATTATCAGAAGAGTTAGGAGGACTTAGGAAGATTATTAGAAGAGTTTAGAGGAGTTGTGTAGAATATTAGAAGAGTTTAGAGGAATTGTGTAGATTATTAGAAGAGTTTAGAGGAGTTGTGTAGAATATTAGAAGAGTTTAAAGGAATTATGTAGATTATTAGAAGAGTTTAGAGGAATTGTATATGTATCTTTAGAAGAGTTTAAAGGAATTGTGTAGATTATCAGAAGAGTTAGGAGGACTTGGGAAAATTATTAGAAGAGTTTAGAGGAGTTGTGTAGAATATTAGAAGAGATTAGAGGAATTGTGTAGATTATTAGAAGAGTTTAGAGGAGTTGTATAGAATATTAGAAGAGTTTAGAGGAATTGTGTAGAATATTAGAAGAGTTTAGAGGAATTGTGTTGATTATTAGAAGAGTTTAGAGGAATTGTATATATTATTAGAAGAGTTTAGAGGAATTGTGTAGATTACTTGGAAGAGTTTAGAGGAATTGTAAAGATTATTAAAAGAGTTTAGAGGAATTGTGTAGATAATTATTACAGTATCAGGATGAGAAGGATAATAAAAGAGCTATGTAAGAAAGGAAATTGAACCATTAATTTCAGAGATTTCTTAAAGAGATTTTTTTCTACATTGATTTAGCTCAGATCAGAGATGAGATTTTAAAAGCTTAAACCCGACTAAAACCCAAACTCGGGCTTAGATAGAACCCAAGTCAGGATTGGTTCTGATTTGACCAATGAGAAGGGTTGGTTCTTACTAAACTCAAGGCCATCTAAAACCAGGGTCTTGACTTGAGCTTTACTTGGGTATAAGCAGACGCAAAGACCGGGGTTTAGTCGGGTTTAAGCTTTTAAAATCTCATCTCGGGAGTGAAATATATTAGCTCAGAGCGTGAGCAACTATGACGCTCTGTGCGCTTAATTGATTGAAACTGTAACTCTGAGAGTTGTAGTGACTGGTGTAATACAAGTCATATTAAAGCTTTCAAAAATTGCCTGAAATTTCAAAGATATGCTTTAACTGTAAGTGTTTGTTATCTTCAGACTTCTATTGTCGAGTACATGTCGGAACATTGTCATAATCGTAAAAAAAATGTAATTGTAAAAAAATTCATGTAAATAAATGTATGCTTTAAACTGTGTCGCCAACCTACTGCAATTGTCATTATTTTTCAAAAAATTGTCAAAACTTCATGATGCACAAACACATAGCATTATGTCATCATTGTTGAATATTTATCAGAACTTCGCCCATATTTCCAAAAACATTGAATTTTCTAAAATTGTCTGAAAAGCAAAGTTTTACTGAAACATCAACATGCATGCCAACTAAATGTCGTACAAATAATATAAATTGTCAAAAATTATGGAATACTAGTTGAAGGGCCTGGCATTGCCCATGAAAAAAATGTATACTGTAAAATACCATGAACGGCTGTGCTGTTGAGGATTTTTTTACTGTTAACAAATTTTTTTGCAATAATTTTGTAATAACAGTATCTAGCAGCCGGTAACAATTGTTGAAAATTTTCAGTTAACAACATTAATAAAATTAAGATAGAAAAAAAACCAGAAAAACGAAACTAACCGTTGGAACTAACAAAACGGCTAGAAAAAGTTTGAACATGCCCAGCCCTAGCAAAGAATGGTTAATCTAGACATAACTCTACCACAAATGAGTACTTATAATCTTGTAGACACGGAAACATACAGGGAAAGCAGTGCAATCCTGGTATACAACGCAGAGTGCTCTGCCGTGAATGGAGAGGGCCCGGGTGATTCTAGATGCCTGAGCAAATAGATTAGCCTGCTGCGGGGTATACCCAGAATCCCCAGATAACTCAAGGTTACACGATCACAATTATCCATAACACAATTCTCAAAATGTACAAAAAAGGGAAGCCAAAATCATATCTCTTATTTCTCCATCTTAAAGAGGCCAACTACTGAGTTGACTGCAATAACTTACTAGCAAAATTTAAAGAAATAAATCTGCCAGAAAAATTCATAACACGAGTTATTATTTCATGGATAATATTTGAACATGATCCCTAGGGGCAAGATCCAGAATACAATACCAGAAGAGAGGACTCCACCAAGCAGCATATTCTTTATAATATAATTATCCGAGCTTGCAAAAAGGAAAAGGGTGAGTACTCAGGGTCTACGACTGGACACAGGAGAGAGTGTAGGAATCAGATGGCATAGTTTTAATCTCAGATAGTTCAGCTGGATTGGAAATCACTAGAAGGTTGGTTGAGATTTTAAAATTATGACATCAGTGCAAAAACAAAATAATATAATCTCACACCAGATGAAAATTATGTTTGCTCCATTGCAAGCACAGGATCCTGTGAATCTGAAATAATTGAGCAAGTTGATTCATGAAAGAACCTTGGAGTAACCCAGTACCTGGAAAAAAAAGATTTCTCGAAAGGGATTGGGACAACATACCCTGGTCAGATCAGGGAGCTATTGGACAATCCCTGGCTTCTTGATTTGATTTGTGCCAAAACTAATCTCCTGTACTTTTAGTGCATTTGTATATGAATATAGGACTTGAGTTTTTGGTTACTAAGATAAAATAAACATATTTGGACCGTTGTGGAATTAATAAAAGCCGGGATTTGAAAGAAGGAGCTTGAAAAAAAAATCTGGTATAAGAAGAATTACTCTGGGTACAATTTTAAGTACAATGAAACAGGGGTAACTATTACTCTGGGTACAAGCTTCAGTTCAGAAGGGGAGGAGGAGGGAGGGATACGAATATTAACCAGGGATTGGAAAAATTACTCCTGGTGCAAGCTTTACTACAGATGGGGGTGTTGGAATATTAATATAAACCTGGGATGGAAACAATTACTCAGGGTGCAAGCTTCAGTAGAGAGAGGGAGGGGGGAGGAAAAAAATTTATTTAAACCTGGGATGGGAACAATTACTCCGCGTGCAAGCTTCAGTACAACTCCTGAATTCAGGAGAATTATCCCCCCAGGAGCAGGAACAGGTTCCAACAAACACCTTCAATTAACAAACATAAAGACAATCCTGCCAGACTAACATTTTAAAATTTAATTTTGTTATTAATTTAAATTGAATGTCTGATAAACCTAAATTTACAATTGCATAGCATTTCACACTGTTAAGTTCTTAAAAATCGTATCGCAATTTGTTATGCTATTTCTTTATTGATTGTTTCCATAACAGCATAAATGATACAGCTGGTTACCAGAGACTTTACAAAATTTATTCTGTCTTTTTTCTTACAATTATTCTTGCTCCGTCTTGGTGCTTTCAGATTAGTATTTAGTTAAAGGTCGTCATTAAAGTGGCATTCTTTGAAGGTAATCCAATTTTAATTAAGTTCCATAAGACATGTAATTTAGAAAAAGGGTGAATATGATAAATAATAGAGGACTGCCTTTTTGTGGGGTTTAAGGCTTCACGGCATATAGGTTACAGGGTTACCTACAATGGCTGAGACTTCAAAGACAATTATACGGAATTTGTTTAACCCCTTTTCTTGCATTTAGGGTTCCTTGTAGGCCAAAACTGGCTTACTTCTGTGCATAATTATCTAGTAACCAAAAAAATACTCAATTAAATGCAGAAAAAAATCAAGCTTTAAATCGTCATATTTTTAGAGTTTTGGGTCGTTTCTACAGTCTCATCCTTTATGGGTAACCCTGTAGGATAAGGTATTACCTTATTCGGAGGAATGAACAAAATAAAGACTCATAAAACTGTGGAATAGGAAAACGACATTTGAGCAATATTATGTGTATTTGGTGTTTATGTTTTTAAGGAAATGGTTTGACCTTTACACAATACAAATTATCTTTAAAATCGACTGAAAAAGTTGTCACGTTTACACACATCACAAATGCCGTCTTCTATGTTCATTGGACTATTTAAATCATAACTTGAGTCTGACAGTCATCTTCCTTTTCCACAGTTTTTACTTTTCTGTCTGTTAAACATTATGATTTATTTTTACAAAAAGTCCAATTTTTTTACTTTCTTATCACCAATGAATGCAGGGGACATAAGTTCCAAAACTAACACTTGGCCCACTTCTAACAATAAGTGCTAGAAATGGGCACAAATTAAAAAACTGAGTTTTTAGGATCCCGGTCCATATTGAGAGTAAAAGTTGATGGTAACACCTATAAGCAACATTTTATTAAACATCACAAGGACAACCATTCCCAATTCAGAACTATTTTTTTAATTCAAAATTATAAATGGAGTTCATTTCATATTAAACACCTTTAACTGTTTCAAGACAATGTCAGGCTTTCCATTTTTGAACATATCCTGAATGGGAAAGATTGTCGCGTTTTCGAGACAAAACCCACTTTCCCGTTTTTCAGTATAATCCGCAATTCAGAACAAAACTCACTGTAATAACTTACAAAATAACACACTAAAAGAAAAAAAAATCTTATGAAGACTAAATTAACTATAATTAAATTAATTATATCTATAATCTAGGTTTCCACATTTAATTTGTTAAATAAGAGAAAAAAGTTGATTTAACTTCCTACATTGCAAGAAGAAAATAAAACTAATATTTTGATATCTCCCTGCTGTAAGGTTTTTTTAATTATTTGATTATTTTATATTTGTTTATATTTCACCTTATCAAAAAATCTTGTTTTATGACTTATGAGCGTGAATACTTGAAAATTGACATTGATATGAATTCCAGTAATTGTTTCAAAACCAGGATATGTTTAAAAAAGCGACTTGAGCTGAAATGCGGTAATTGTTTCATAATAGGGATATGTTCCAAAATGAAAACAAGAATCATCAAAAACTAATTCTCACACCTTATTAATAGTTTAAAGTTGACATTTTTTGTTTCAATTTATAGTTTTAGCCGTTTTTTAAAAAATGTACGATTTAAAGATATGTACGCTTGAAAAAGATTACTTGCAGCTTTGGCCCATTTCTAACACTCAGTATTAGTTTTGAAACTAATTTCAACTGGAATTGTTGTTTACTTATCCTTTCTTTTCATTGTTTATCTTATTTTATGACACTCTGTAACTGTACTGGACATAATCTTGATATGGGCCCTGTCCTTTATTAATTCCCCTAAATAGAATGCCGTTTTCTAGAAGAAAGGACTGAGGGAGGGGCCACATGTTAGGGGGTTATACAACATTTTCTTGAACATTTTATACTAAATTCAGATTCTAAAATCATTTGTAAATTATTAAAATTGATGAAGTTAAGACATAATAACACTCCAATAAGCTGTTTTTTTATCTTTCAAGTTTTAATTAGGTTATCGTGCTCTTACTCATTCAATTTTCAGAATTTTTTAAGATGTTTTTCAAATTTGAATTTCCAAGAAAATGATGTGTAACAATAATATCTATATATTTAATTTATTATTTGGCCTATCGGAAAAGGTTGTTCACCCTGTTTCCTTGAGCACAATCATATTTTACAAGAAATATTCGTCAAAAGTTTCTACCATCTGTCTAATTTATAGCTTACCAGTATAAAGAATATGAACCAAAGAACCGTCTTGTTAACTATCATCTTTGCTTCTTCAACTGATAGTTTTACTCACTAGAAAATAGTTATTTAAACCACCAGACAAGATTGATTTATACAGATTCACTGCAGAGTACAGGGGTTCCAAATACAGGGATCAAGAGATGGTTAATAATTGACTTGCAATGTAACAATCGTGGAATCACATGCGTGTTTTTCAAAATGTAGCTTATACTTATTTCCATTTCAAGATTTATTCAGTAATTAAGTGATCAAACTGAACCCTTGTCTCCAGGTATAATATTCTACTCCATGAATCTTTGCAACCTGATGTCGTAGACTCTTTTAGATCAAATAGCAAAAGTTAGATATGTCAGGTTGCAAAAATTTAAGTTTGAGTCAAGTGCCAAGTTTCTTAATTAATATCTTTAAGTTTGAAGGTATAAAAATGGCAGGCCTTACTGTGTACATCTCAAACTAGTATTAGTGGATTACTACAATAACATATGTGTTCACGAAAAACTAAAATATATATTTTTACGTACGTCGTCACTTATTGACCCCATTTTATCGGCGTAATTTATCGGAACACCCTGTAGTATAATTGTATATATAGGTCCGTTCTATTTTGATTTCAGTTTTCCAAGGTAACCCCCCCCCCCTTCATTTCCGTGTGAGGAAAGCCCCGTTTTCCATTTACATGTTAACATAAATAAGTTGAAATAAATTGCGAACTCAAAAATAAAATTTCAAACTTTTGGGAAAACTAGAATAATTTGTTATAAATCCTAGAAATCTGCCAAAAATATTCTTACATTTCATGAAAACTTGTCTGGGGGGCCGGGGAGCGGGGGTCGTTAGTTTAGCAGAGAATTCAAGATTTTAGGAAGCAGGCAAATCTGATTTGGAGCAATATTTACGCAAAAAGAGAAGGACAAACGTTGCTCTGGTATCTTTATTTATACATTTTACATCTTTTTAATTTTAGATCCTTAAAGAAGGAGAAAATTGAAATTTTGTATAAAAAATGGAATGTATTTTATCCTTAATGCATTGTAAACAGATGTGTAGAAAATATACAATATACAATACATGCTTTATCTTTAACTGTTTCATTGTTTGATGATTTGGTGTACTTCAAATACACTTCTTTTTATGATAATTTACTATACACATGATTTTATCATCCTTAAATGTGGCTTTCTTAGTTAAAAAAATATGTTTTAATGTGCTTTCATGAGGACTAATTAGCTCAATTTAATAAAACCTTTAGATTTAAAGATGTATGAATGATTTGGCATGTTTCTTGTTGTTCATTATTATGATGATTTTTATTATAATAACGTAAAAGCTCTTTAGTTTGTATATAGTTAGTTAATACTTCCATCCTTATCATTTTTTTCTATTTATTTAACAGCTCTACTTCAAGGGACTGTGAGCGTAATTTCAATTGACCCTCCATGCAATGCCCGGTTTAAAACTGTACACTTAAAAGCTTCGTCTGATATTTAGATTAAAAAAGTAGATGTTAATGTTTATAATTTTAAAAACTGTTTCAAGTTTAAAAGTGAGCTATCTACATTATTGATCAGAGTCAGGCTTCAAGGTGAGCATTGTGGGATCGGCAGGGAATAGGAATAAAAGGAAAGGAAATGGCGCTGGTCTGGCATGAGAAAGCAACATGTCTACAGTCAAGGAAATTGCAGAACAATGTCGTCAATTATAATTAAGCATGAATAACGAGTAGTTAATTGTAAACTTTAATCAAATTGTATTCTTTGCATGAAAATTAGGCTTAAAGTATTGACTTAAATATGTAAATAATATATTACTTGTATATTAAACTTATTTTAAAGTAAACAATTACCAATAGGCAAATGTACTCTCCTAGACTGTACAAATATCTTGATTCTTATGTATGTCTTATATATTCTGTATAGTGAATATATATCCTTCAGAACACGCCTTCGGTTCGGTATTCCTTACACACACTCTATTGGTACAGACACGCACACATGACGTTTCCGCCCCTGGGGATCGGACTTAAGCGTTGTCACTTTTAATCAAAGTATCCTTCCAGCTGAAAAACAATTTGATTTGGTCGTTATATCAGTTAGTTACAAATATCTATCAAAAAGTTCAACAGCTCATTGTTTACAATTTTTAAAATTGTACGACTTAAAAGTATGCAACCCTGCAAAAAAAATAAGAATTACAAACATTTAAACATTTGTTCAGAATAGTATCTTATGTAAATTAAAGAATTTGACGGGTTGTGTTATAAGCATACTAAAACTAATTTTGAAATAAATGTTGATATAGATTTTTTTGAGCCTCTTAAAAGCTAAACATAAGCCTACAGCGATGTGTCAAGTGACAGCATATAATAAAATAATATTGGAATTATGAATGATTATCGAGATATTCTAAAAACAACCCAAGTCAATTATCAAAAACAATCTATGGTCATTTGATCAGTCAACGGTTTTTTTAGTGATTCTGACACACCACCCTATAAAGGGAGGGTCACTTAAAATTACGCCTACAGGTACCTTTAATTAATTATCGCCTATTTCTTATTCATTTAATCATAGGTACAACAATAGGTCGTATCTATCTATCTACACAGCTCTGGTAAAGCGTAACCATAGTGTGACTATGGTTCTACCAATGATAGATCGTCTAAGAAATTGGCCATTAGTATCCTGCTTCAAGGTGCCATCTCAACCGATCTAGAGGAAACGAACCCAAGTTATATCGAGCACAAGAAATTAAAGAAAAAAATATCAATTGGGACATTTCATGGACTCAGAAGATTTTCCATAGACAGCAGATTTTTCATTTACGAAATTAGTTTTCTTCGATTTTTCATAGACAAGGCAAAATGTAAATTCAGTGCTCCCAATATACATTGCTACAACGAAACAATTAAAAATGCATATGAATAGTACTTTATTAATTTTTTAAGAAATTCAACTTTTTCATCTGTGATTAAAAGTTTTTCACTAATAATGCTTTTGTTGAATGAAAATATTCGAGTAAATTGTTAGAAATCCGCAAAACAAAATTGGAAAACCTGCAACTTCTCTGACACTGTAGAAGGAAGGCATGGCCTACATTTCATAGATAAGACTTTTCATAAATGGAGAAGATTTTTTCGAAGATAAGGAAAAGTATGATGAAAAAAAAATAAAAATATTATTTGAAAAAAAAAACTCCTCTGTCAATTGATAATCTTCTCTGTCTTGAAATGTATTATCTATAAAATGTCCTATCTATGAAATGTCCCATCTATGAAATGTCCTATCTATGATATTGTTATCTATGAAATGTCCCAACTCCGTCTTTATGATGGGTAGGTGTGAACTTATCTAGAAAAAGTCGGAAAATCTTAAGGTTAATTTCCCCGTAGGTCAATTTACATAGAACCCACCTCACTAGTCTCTCTGCTCTCCACACACTACACTGAGACAGAACCGAGGTGAGAGAAACCAAACTTTATTCAAGCATTTGCTGAAACAGTCAACATAGGAAACCTTACAAACTGCAAATATATAGTTTACATCATGGAATCACATAATACAAGATTCAGCAGAATACAGGGGTAAATATGGACCAAGGAGTGTACAGGAATCAAATTTATGTACAAACTAATGTATACTCAATGATCCGTCTGTACATACCAAGGCTGGTTGTAGCATAAGAAGATTGAAAACTCAATGATTACCCATGTATCAATAACACATTGTTTGAAGGTAAACAACTAACTAGTAAAAGCTGCATTATTGGAACTAAACTGGGGTGTGGAGACATTACTGCATGTAAAATAGCAAGGTTAGGGGGGGGGGGATTATAGTACATTTACTCACCAAACCCTTGATGCAGGGGTTCAAGGATAAATCCGTCCTAAACAAGTAGACAACAATCATCCAGAGATAATAATATGAATCAGTCTAAAATCGACATATTAACATGTCGGTAGTGAAATTAAAACTTTGTATGTAGATTTAATGATTGATTAGGAAGAAATGAAAGGAATAAGTAACATCACAGCTTACTCAGTACTCACAGAATGGTAGGAGTAGGAGAGAATCGAAACCAGGTCCTTCTCCCGTACTATCCCAGTACCCAGAGAACCTGCAGTAGATATTTAGGTTCTAAATATGTAGCTTTTACTAGTTAAAGCGGAAATAATTCCAAGAGATATTTCTTTGAACTGAATGAACATGATTTTTTAAAGGTTTCACAAAGTCCAGCAAAAAAACTAACAACAAAAAATTACTTCGCCACTTCGGCTTTCTGCTTTTTGTTCTCAATTTCGTAAATCAAAAGTCTCCACATTTTCACTACGAAAACCTCGGCTTCGTCGTCCAAGACAGTCTGCACGTCCTCGAGGATGGCCTTCGGAGAGCTTCCGGCCAACACCTTGGAACAGATGAAGTCCGTGAGGGTAGGTTCAGGTTCTCCGATATACTCCGCTATCTTTTTATTAACCCAGGGACGAATCCTCTTCTCCATGAGCTGATTATCAACCAGGTCCCAGTCCACCGTGTACTCAAACAACGCTGTCTTGTCCGTCGGGATCTTCTCGATCAATGACTTGATGTGCTTCTTCTTGTCGTCCGCTGTCTTGGTCTCCGACTTCTTTTCCGTCGTGATGATGGGCAGAACGGTTTTTAGTTTCTTTTTAGGTTTATGATCATCATCGTCGTCCTGATCCTGGTTAAATATATCCGCAACCTGCATCTTGCGTCGCTTACTCGCGGGATCAAGTTTAGTTCCAGGTAGCGTGATAGGATTGATGGTTGGTTCGGGAGGAGTAGGGATGTTCTCAGTTGGACTTGAGTCCCCTCGATTATCCCCGTTGTCGTAATTATAATCCTCAACGGGACTTGGACCTCGGTCAGGACTTGGGGAGTTGTTCTGCGGCGAGGTTGTGCTTTCTCTATCCCTGTCTCTGGCCTCCTCTGGTTTCTTGGAACTCGTAGACTTAAATTGTTTCTCTCTCTCCTTCAACCTCTTCTGGAACTCGGCGTTGGGGTCCTTGAGAGCAGGGTTGGAGAAGATTTGTTTTTTTATTTCTTCAATCTCTTCAGTTTCTTTTCTTCGATCCTCTCCATCCTTGGCTGCTTCTCTTTCCCTGCAAAATAAAAAAATTAACCTTGTTAAGAAGTAAAAGTTAACCCTCTCCCACTCCTCCAAATCTTTAATTCTACCGCTTCACAATGAAAGAAGTTTGTTTCAAAAAGTTTTCCTTAAAATATACTCCTCAGTTCCTACATTTTTAAAACAGAGGTAAAGAAAACTTTTCAACTAATTTCTTTAACCTAGAACTTCAAAATATCATACTTAAAATTTGAAACAAAAACTTGACATTTCATCCTGGCAAATAATTAATCATTTAATTCAATACCTGTCCGCCATTCGTCTAGCAAGCTCTCGTCCTCTGTAATATTTGGAATCATCTTTTTCATCATCATAATCTTCAAGAAACTCTTTCAACTTCTTTGCTTCTCTTTCCATATCTTCCGCTTTCTTCTTTTCTTTTGCTTTTTCCTTTTCATAATCTTTCGCTTTTTTAGATTCTCTTTTCTCCCATGCTAGAAGACGGGCTTGGTAGTTTTCTTCCTTCTCCGTCGCTCTTTTCTCAGCTTTCTTTCGTTCCTTTTCTTCTGCTTCTATTTCTCTCTCCTTTTGCAATTCTTTCTGTGTCTTATTCCTATCAAGTGATCTGTCCCTTGTTTCTCGGCCTCGGGATTCCCGCCCTCGTGATTCCCTACCCCGGGATTCTCGTCCTCGTGACCTCGACCTTGAGGCACGGGGAGGTCGTTCCCGTACTGGAGATGGACTTCTTTTTCTGCTCATCCTCGTTGATTGAGATCTGGCCTCCCGGCCCCTGGAGCGCGATCTTTCTTTTGTTCTCTCTCTAGATCTCCGGGCTGGAGGGGACGATTTTCTGTCCTTGTCCCGATCTTTATCCTTCTCTTTATTCTTCCCTTGCTCCTCTCTCTCTGCTTCCCGGATTTTCATTGTTTCTCTAAATTTATCTATTTCCCGAGTAATTATCCCTTTCTTCTCGTCTTCAACATTATCTAATCCTTCATCTCTGGTTCCCATCCTCTGTAGCAGGGCGGAGGTCGGTGGAGGATCCCGTTGAAGAGGTAACGTTGATCCCTCCTTGGGAATATAGGATTCTATCTCCTTGGCATGATCCTTTAGAATCTGCGCAACCCGATCCTTGGCCAAGTTATCATCATACTCCATCCCTGCGTCCGTATACTTCTCTAAATCTTTACACTCTCCACCGTTCTTCTTTACCCGATCCGTGACGTAATCATCCAGGATCTGCTTAGTCTTGGCGTCCACCTTCACTACCAGCGCTTTGTCTGCTATAGAGAAACTGTTGAGCAGTCGGATCGATCGAAGTCCGGCATCGGGATTACTAAACTCACAGAACCCAAAGGCCTGAACAATGAAATAATACTAGATTGCTAACAGTCTGAAATGCAGGGAAAAAATATATTTTGATCCGAACATAATTTTAAAAAAAACTTTTACTTTAAGAATTGGGGGAAATAAATATTTTTTAATGGGAAAAATTCATTTAAATAAAGAGGGGGGAAGTCACTTGATGTTCATTCCCCCCCCCCCAATTTTTTGTTTAAACTATAAATCCCTGTTAAAATTGACAAATTAAAAATATTTGGGACCGGATTTAATTAATTGGAGAGAAGTCGCTGAATTACCTACCACCAGATCAACTACTTCTCTAGTGGTGTTAGAATCAAATCAAAATTTGAGTGAAAGATTTTAGGTTGAACCGCCCTTACTTAGTTCAACGACTTCTCAAAAATAATTTAACTTGGTCCTTGTATTGTTATGCATGGTTACCTGGAGTTTTCCCGTAGCTCCTTGAACCCGTTTCCAACTAAGAACAGGACCACAGGTTGTAAGGAGATGACGCACCATGGCATCAGGAGCTCGTTCTGTTATATTCCCGACAAATACGGTCACAGCGGGCCCAGTAGGTATATCCTGAACAAATAATGCAATTACAAGATATTTTATTTAATTTCAGAGAACTCATCACCCTGATATTTTCTGTTCTAGGGCGATAAATTAACTTAATCGACATGCTATTAAATAAGTTGCGTATAATTTAATAAAACTACATATGCTTTTCTAATTGGTTTCATGCTAGCGAAAAAGCTTTTAAAAAATAATCTTATTTTAATCCCAAATATATATATTTTTAAAACCAGTCAAAAATAAACTATTTTCCGCCTATTGACCATCAATTTATAGACCCATAATTCCTCCAACGGCGGGATGTTAAGTTCCATAACTTTCCCTTGGGACAATTAATTAAAATAACATCCCACTCTGACAAGTTTCGTGAACAAAAAATCGCACATTTCAGTCTTAAGAAGATAAACTGTGTACGCTCTTTCTTACGACAAAAATGTTCTTGAGAACCTCTGCAGGTTAAGTAACGTTCCATAAACTTCCCCGTAAAGTAGTTGCAAATAATCATGAATTAACTATCTAAATTGTCGGGGTTGATTATCACTTCATTTCAGATAAAGTTTTGTATTTAAAATCATTATTGGAAATTACCATGTTTAAATAAAAAAGTGTTTCTTACCCGTTTGGGTGGGATAGGTCGTGGGGGCGCACTCTGCTGAACTTGAGGTCTGGGACCAGGCCCCCCGTTAGGTCTATGTCCTCCCATGTTCATTCCCATCGACATCGGCATCATTCCCATCGGCATTCCCATGGGCATGCCCATCGGAGGTCTGGCGCCGAACCAAGACATTATAAATTCTGAAGTAAATATATTTAAGGTCAAGAAAACGAGATTAACTAAATAACAATATTTTTGTATTTTTTTGTGCTACCTCACATTGTCTGGTACTGGTAGTATTTCTAGGTCATTTAATGCAATTATACATAAGTCTTTGTCAAGGGTATAAAATGTTCAGCTAATTGGGTTTAACCCTTCCTCTAATCAGAGTGCAAGGGTAGTTTGGATAAAATTAAATTAAAGTTCTCAAAAAAGATAATGCTACACCATTTTTTTCAAAAAATACAATTAAAAATGCATATGAATAGTACTTTATTAATTTTTTAAGAAATTCAACTTTTTCATCTGTGATTAAAAGTTTTTCACAAATAATGCTTTTGTTGAATGAAAATATTCGAGTAAATTGTTAGAAATCCGCAAAACAAAATTGGAAAACCTGCAACTTCTCTGACACTGTAGAAGAAAAAAAATCAAAATTAATTACAGGTCTAATGCACTAAAAAACATACCCCCGGTCTATATGTATTACAATATGTTTACGTATTCAAATCACACATCTAAGAAAACCTTAAGTAGGCCTTAAATTAAACAAAAGTAAGGATATGCACTAATAATAATAATAATAAAAATATATGCATAGTTGCTGGTACAGTATGAATATTATATCTTTGGTGTTGACCCAATATATGTAATGCAAGTCAGTGTTGAACGATGTAAGATTATGCGCCAGTAGAATGATCACGTGTCCCTATGGTCATGTCACGTAATATAAGTAGGATCACATGACAAATTATGCTTTTGGACATGAACTTGTATCATCGGGAAGGATTAAAGCTTCGTTTTCTACAGTTTCAGAACTTGAAGTCTCATTTGGCGCATTTTTGCATCCGCAGCACACCTTCAGTTTTTCTCGGATAAATATAATCCCGTCTAGAATCGGATCCCAATTGTTCCAATGTGTAAGGACTGCAACTATAAAGAAAGAAAGAAACATCGGAACTGAACCAACATAGAAGAGATCATCATACTGAATATGCTTAACTAGAACATCAGCAAACATAGTTAGAGGAATAGTAAGAGAGATGGCGAGGGTTGCAACCAGACTGGATGTGTAGAAGCAGCCGAACAACCAGAGTAGCTCCGAGAGTACCGTCCCAACCACACCGTTCACCAGCATGGAGAACCACTGGGTCTTGTTCGGCCACTCGAACACCTCCAGCTCCGTGTAGTGGAGAACCAGGAACAGCGGCCAAAGGGAGATGAAGGTGAAGAAACCCACAAACCCGAAGAACATTGGAACATCAAGTTTATCCTCGTGATCGATCTTCCGACGGAGGAAGACGATGTAGGCGGAGTAGGACAAGGATCCGGAGAGAGCCCAGAGTGCTCCTTTAGGGAACCCATCCTCCAGTTTAAGGTCAGAGTAGGAGACTAGAATGACACCGGCCAGCGTAAACCCAACAGAAAATACCTGAACAGGAAAAGAATGTAAAAAAGTAAAAGTTTAAGGGACTATATAACTCCATTTCAAGAGTGGCAATGGTTCCCTATAGACTTTTGACTAATCAATAAAGAATGATATATCTTTATTTTTCTACCTAAAAATTGATAATTTTCCATTGTGGATTGTCTGTAAGTGATTTGTGGATTTATGAAAAAGAGACAAAGTGGGGAAAATTGTCAGAACTCTTACCGTTGCTTCTTAAAGATAAGAAAACGACGATATCTTTCTAAATGTTGCGCAGATTAATGTCATGAGGGTAACATTGTGAATCCTACAGTCCCTTTAACAGTGAAGATCAACCCCCCCCCTTTTTACCTTTATTCTCCATATTCCCTAAATTGGACCTTGTTTGGGTCAGGATAACAGGGGATTTAAATTTAAATATATATTCAATCCTGGGACATTTTCATTTCATTTAAACAATACATTTTAATCTATTCTAAATTAACCACAGACAGATTTTGATCTGTCTATAAAAGTCCGAAGCCAATTAATTTAATTCAATTATACTAAAAGCTTTTTCTTTATGATCAGTTAAAAAAACACTAAGATATGAAAAGAAAAAGGAACAATTTATATTTTTTCCTCCACAAAATAAGAAGAAAAAAAGGGGTTAATTCGCTCTAAAAAACGGAATTAATAGGATACACTTACTTTAGTTAAGGTTGGTGAATCTGTAGAATTTGAAGGAAATACAGCTGAGAGGAGAAGAGTAAAAAAACAAGAACTAGCTGACAACACATTCACTATACCAGCTTCGGTATTAGCTAGAGCAGCCTTAAAAATAACAATAATTGAAATCAAGTCAATAATGTGGTAATTTGCTTTTCAGTTCTAAAAATCTTTTTCCAAATAAAATGAAATCTGGTTGGGTTGTGGGCAGAGGCGTATACAGTGGGGGGGGGGGGCTATGGGGGCTTAGCCCTCCCCCCTCTAAGTCGTGGGGAGGGCCAGGAGTATGGAATGTAAAGGAGATACAAACGACGCGGCCCGCCCTACCATATGATTATACATGCTTTTCATTTGAAAAAGAGTTTTTAAAAAATCGTCTTTCACTTGTTTAAATGTGGTTTTTTACTTTACCATATTAAATAAAACCAATTTTTATATTATAAAAAAATAAGCTTGTATTGCTAATATTTGTTGCATCCCCAAAAATGTATTTATTGGCGTTGTTCAGCCTAATTTTTTCCCCGTTTAATGTATACAATAACCTTTCCTGAGTACGCGGTATTGGTACATCAGACAAAATTAGCATGGGACGTAGAGGTGCGGAGGGGGGAATGACAAAACTTTCACGTGGCCACAGCGCCAGCTACCTAGCCTGTCGTAGCCGCGGCGCTCGGCCCCCTAGCCCATACTAGCCACAGCGCTTGGCCCAGAGATGGTCTTAACCTAACCTAACCCTCAATAATAAAAAGTAGAAGGAGTTTTGTCTATCCCCCCCTCCGCACCGCTACCTCCCATGCTAGAAAAATAAAATATTTCTCATTAAAATGAAGTACCGCAAAGCATGTGCATTGTGCAAGCATATGGTAGGGCGGGCCGCGTCGTGTCTCGTTTCTATGTGGTTTTTGGACCACAACAAGTGTTTAAGCTCCCCTAAAAAAGTTAAAGTCCAATGGAAAAATTCTCAAAATCCCCGTACGCCATGAGCCTCTGCTATGCACTCACGCAGAAATGAGCATGCGCAATACATCAGGAGGTTTTTCAAACTTGTGTTTTAAATTTAAATAAATTTTTTTTACAATTTTTCAACCTAGTGGCATGAGAGTTTTCTTACAGATGAGAAGTATTTATCGATTATCTTTAAAAGTGCCTGATTATGACTAATAAAGTTGTATAAAACTTGAATTGAATTATTTCATTTCATGTTTTACAATCTTCGATTTAAGCGATAATTTATTTTGTAGTTCAAATTAAATCTAGAAATTTTGTATCATTCATTTAAATCTTATCATTTTTCAAAAAAAGGTATAATATAAATCAAAGATTATAACAAAATAAACTAAGTTTACTCCAGAAATATTTCTCCAAATATCTTTCTTTCCGCGTAAGAAATGATTAAAGTTTTATATACAACTTTATTAGTCATAAAAATGTTTAAAATTATTTAATATCTTCGTCAAAATAAAAGAAACTAAGAGGCTAGGGTAGACCACATTTTGGAAAGCTCATTAGACGCTCAGTCTTTTTTAATCGACTTTATGTCATTATCAATTATCGGAAATGAAAGACGATCTTCAAGTCGTCTCTTGAAGGCAGACCACATTTTCAAAAGCTCGTAAGACTTTGAGTCTTTATTTTGCCAACTCGTTGTCATTTATCAACAATAAAAAATCGATGACGATTTTTAAATTATCTCATAATTCCCATGCTTATTGGGACACCCTGTAGTAAAAGATTATCAAAGGGTAAATTCAAATTTTATTCTAAAATTTTGCTCGGTACCTGATAACTGTAGTTGCCAAGGAAAAAAAGAAATGTGAATGTAAGCGAGAGTTGAGCTGTGTCCTGAATTCCAAGCCTGCATTACACATTAAATTCAGAAATATTGCTTTATTGTATACAACGAAAAATGTTGCATAAAGATCTTCATAGAGAAACTTGACAGAAAAGATTGCTTTAAAGCAAAAATCAGATAAAAAACAATTATCTCAAATGATTAATGATAAGTAGTTGACTATCAATGTGTTGATAAATGTGTAAATTATTTTCTTTATTTTTATTTATATTGTTTATAAGTAGTTGACTATCAATGTGTTAATAAATGTGTAGATTATTTTGTTTATTTTTATTTTTAAATGTTCTTCAATTCTAATTTTCTATTTA